TAGCAACATGATTGTCAAACTTCAGTTTGTTATCTATCGTTGTGCCAAGCATGTCAAATTCTTTAGTCACAGCTTAGTGGTGATTACGGAATAAATCTACGTTGGAGCCAATTTTGTTGTGGCTAGTCATTGTCTCAAGGATAGTCAACAGCCGTAATAGATCCCGACCTTCCCGCAGCCAGCGAGTGCCCCCTGGAAAGCCTTTTCCAGAAGAAGTTTATTGAGTTGTTCTCCGTCCGTCCGTTATTTGTGAAGGAAAAAAACCTGTTTTCACATTAACATGTAGTGGGTTTATTCTAATTACGTCATTACATTGTCTAATTGAAAGGCACATCGTACTTCAAATATATAATAAACATCTACTTACAATTCATAGGCAAACAACATGAACACTCACGTGTGAAAGTCCCCCTTCCATAAAGGCTGTTGGTAAGGTCTCGTTGAAATTTAAATCATCCATGGTTCACCACAAACCAGGTAGTGTGACGTTGGGGTTGCTGAAACTGATGATGATGATAGCAGTTCTGGCACCCTGAAAGAGCAAATGATTCCGGCTTGGTACTTCGAGAGCCAATCCACTAAACACCTCAACAGACAAAGGCTTGTTTTGGGATCAGACAGTTTATTAAATGTATATATCCTACGTAAATAACACATTAGAAATGACGCCTAGGTAAGTCCTCGCCCTAAAAACTCAACTCAGCACTTGTGAAAGGTATGTTATAGAGCCTGAAGCTTAAGCACTTGTCCAAGTACCTAACCAGTTAAGAAAGAACCCTACAAAGGGGAAAGTCAGAGGAGTCAGCCGGTCTTCGACGACTTCTGGTTAGTTATTTAATTAACTGAACACTCATGGGAGTTTTCTAATAACGGACCTTTGCTTTCTATCTCATGAATGTTGTTCATGGTAACCGTATTCAAGATGAGCCTCATTGCACACAAATTGTAGGCTTTCACAATTCCTACGTTGGACTCGAGCGTAATTGCGTGTTTTTATAGTTACGTTTCCTGTTCAATTTTTTAAGCTTGTTTGTTCCCAGAGCAGGGGAGAGATGGTGATAAGGAAGAGTACAACTTTGGACTTTTGAGCAGGAGGGCTAGCGATCAAACATGGAATTTCCGTTGGTGTGAAATAAACAACACTACACCTCGACACAAAAGAATGTATGGAAAAACTGATTCATTATCATTTACTGGTTGTACTTGAAGGAAGAAATATCCCCAAAACTTCACTTGTCTCTCAGAGTGATCAGTTTTTCACCGACAATCACAATCCTTACGATTCAGTTAAAAATTACAAAAGACGGGCAGAAATAGAAAACGTGGTAAAAATTCGTTCAGTTCTTACAAATTTAGGAAGCTTTGCACAGCAGAACAAGAGCTTCAACGGGCAAGAATGAAACACAGGTCATTTGAAAAAGATCAAGAGCAGATGGTACAATGGGCGATCCTCAACTGTTTATCACGTCGTATTTAACCAAAGCGAGCCAAATGTTACGTTTTTGTTTCTGATGTTGACAACATTACTTTTCTTTCCTGATTATGTGAAAATTTTAGAATATAAGAATGCTAAAGAGAGTAAAAAAGGGGGACTGAAAGGTTATTATGCGATGTAATGTCTTGGCACAAAATTGAAACCCAGTTAGGAAAGTACCTATTTTCCCACCGAAGCTTGTTAACACAGAGTAACCGAAATGAAAGTAATAAGTTTAAACAAACGAAAATTTACGGAACTCAGAAATCTGTGTTTATACAGCTTTATTAACACAAATAATTGATCGCTTGTAATGAACAGTGCACGATAGTAGTCATTGTTCTGATGTGGACTAAATCCTTTCTTTACGATCTACTCTTTGTGTTTCAGGCTTTCAATAGGGTTCGTTGAAGTGGATAAAAGACTTATCTTAAAGCGATTGTCTTTAAGCAGGCAGAACTTTGCTAATTTATGTGGATGAAGGAACAAAAGTGAATATTACTTATTGTTAATGCAGGTTTCATTATAATTTTGATCATGAGGAAACAACGAAACACGATTTCGGTAAACAACCGTACGCGTCAAAAATAATCGTAGAAGGCATAAGATGATATGATCGATAGAGCCCGGGTCACTAAGTTAAAACAAGAAGATAACGCTGATGAAAACTGAGCTCTTTGCACAACAGATTTGAACTGTGTGGGAAGGATATCTGAACGTGCGGTTTTCTTGGAGCAGGACCAGATTATATTCCACTATTGCACTCAGAAGGGCCAAATCATCTCCCTTTCACTGCAAACGGGACTTTTTTAATAACTCGTCGAAAAGCTGACCAAAAAACCGAAGTTGCAAGGCACTGATTTGAATTTTGAAGTTTCCGTCGACAAAGGACGTTTTTCTTTGCTCAGAATGGAAAATTTTACGAGAAATCAATCATTTTACACTACGTCCACGACTTCCGTTGTTTGGTTTTCCGAGGAATATAACAAATCCATTCCCATGGCTTGCTTGTATGCGGTAATTTCTTTCATTGCGGTATTCGGAAATCTTCTGGTTATTACAGCTGTTTGTCGGGATCACACGTTACGCTCGTACACCAGTAATTACTTCTTAGCAAACCTGGCGGTGGCGGACTTTTTCCAGGGATTGATTGCGATTCCCTTGCGAATACTGGAAGTGATGGCGGTAGGCTACAACCCGCACGTATTTTGTAGAATTGCAATTGCCACAGCAATATTGTTTGGCAGCAGCTCAAACTTGGCTATCCTGGTTATAAGCATTGACAGATTTTTTGCTGTGCAATATCCATATACATATGTTAGATACTCAAACATAAAATGCACATACATAGCGATCGCTTGTTCGTGGTCGGTGGCTGGGTTGTTGAGCATCATGGCTGCTACACCCCTGGTGTGGCTTATACCAGTTGTTTCACCAAGAGTCTGCCGCTTTCCCATTTACTTAAATCAAGATTACATATTTGGAATGTACGTTGTTGTTCACGCTATTCCAATTGGTACAGTTGTACTTTTATACGGGTTTATTCTCAAAGCCAGCTTGCGGCACGTGCGCAGAATTCACGTGCAAGAACTTGCTGTTCTCGAAAGTAATGCACAGTACACGAACGGTCATCGTAGCAACATTAAAGAAATGTCTTCCGGTACAATCAGAAGAAAAAAGAGACATTGTGAGACCATCAAACAGAGGAAAGCAGCCAAGACTGTCTCTATAATAGTTGGCCTTTTTATTCTTCTTGTAGTTCCGATCATTGCTATCGACTTGGCTGAGATGTTGGGTGCACCATCAGCACCTGAAATGTTGACAAGATTCTGTGTTTTTATGATATATGCTAATAACTGTGTCAACGTTCTAGTATATGCCGGATTTAATCAGGACTTTAGGCGAGCTTTTAAGAAGATACTTGTTCAGTGTTTTCGATGCATTTTTGGAGAAAGACCATGCAGACCTATTGTTTCGGTCATGATGTGAACATTTCCAAATAGCAAATGTTAGCAATAGTGAACTTCAAGTTTCAGAGTGTGAAGGATTTTTGCGTCAGAGTAGATAGCTAAAATCGTTTCCAAATGTTTCTTGTGGATATAGCCCAGTGATTGCACACGTTAAGTTAAGGGCATTGGCCAAACACAAATGACATGTTTACTTTTTAAAACAGCAGCAGGTGTTCATGACTTCAGGGAGACTACACATTGAAAAATCGATTCTTTAGTTATAAACGCACTGTTGTCTATTTGAACTTATCCAAGAAGAAAAAAACATATTCAATAAAATCAACATGGCGTTAAACGACATGCAGTTTTCAGAGATATAAGTTCGCAGTATGTGCACATATACGAAACGACATGAGGTATCAAGTTCACTAACGCCATGGTAAAGAAATCAGCGGAAAAAAATAAAATTTAAATACAAACTATCTTTTTTAAATCTTCTCGCGGGAATCACGTATCAAATAATGGTACCAATTAATTTATTAAGATAAAAAAAAACTTGAGCCATTATGAACACTAATAAATTCAACAAAAACAGAGATGAACACGAAGGAAAGACAGAAAACTAACGCAGACCCGCGACTTTGGTTACTACGCTAATTTGACAAAAATGATAATAAATATTGAAAAAAAAGTTCCGAAGCCTTTCTCCAAAATATCCTTCACTGCGGGAAGAGATTGTCGTTAAATAACAAAATTGTCTGTGATAGTTTTAAACTTTATTTTTTTATTTTGATGCCACGTACCTAACGTGTGAATGATCTCCATCGAATGTTTTGGAAAAGCGTAAAAGTTCAAAACTAAACTGCGTCATTTTAAATTCTGCGGCCGAATACGAATGGCGATTTTTCTTTAAAATCATGAGTCAACAATGGAGAATGGATGCATTGCTCAACTTTGTCATGATCACCAACTCGCATGACCACTGTTTGTGGAAGTCATGCTAAAACGTTGTGCTAATCAATTTTTTAAAGTTAAAAGTTTGCTTCTTATCCCTTTGTTCGCGTTCACGCGAGTGCTGTTGTTACAGTACTCCATTTTCTTAACGTCTTCCGATTGATACAGCTCTGCATTACGATTTTAACCTTTCAACGCGAGGCAACTTTGAATGACGGAAGTATGTCAGGACACTGATGGGTGTCAAACATAAGATTTCTTGTTGATTCAAATCAAGGAAACGCTTCGTAATAAAATATTGAACAACAGGTTACAGATGAAGGCAAAAACATCGCACGAATATTTTAATTAAGAGTGCATTGGTCTAGCCGAGTAACCGCAATCACTGATTTAAAGTCATTCGGTGTTAATCTGAGAGACCTGAATTTTGTTTTAGAGTAAGTAATGATTCTTCTCTTCCCCAAAGTAAAATAGTTCCAGGCTTATCAAAAATAATCATTGCTCAATGTTTCTACCGATTTTTTATTTCCCACTATGATATTTATTGAAGTTATTCAAAGGAAAATATTGCTCCACCCTCATGAATAAAACTTCTCCCTTTGGTCAAACTATGATGCTTTTTCATTACAGGGTAAGGAAAATCAGCGGATATTAGGTACTTTTTGGCTATAATGTGCGATAAAACAAGAGTCCTTTACGGAGCTCGACATCAATGGAGCAACGTAGCACTTAACATACAACAAAAATCAAACAAAGTTAAAAAGAAAAAAAAAAACAAAACAAACAAAGAGCGATCGATTCGTGTCAACGAGTGACAGCTGGTTGTAAGAGGTGATAATTCAACAACAAGCGGCATCGTAAGTGGTCCTTTGAAGGAATAAGAAGTCAAGAGACCCAAATCACACAAAGCTACCAGGTAATGAAATTTTCTTACAATGATAATCCAAACGAAGGCTGAAGTACACGTCCCTGTACGCGTTTTTGATGAGTACTTTTCAAGGAAATGATTTATTGCGCTGCATTGATGGCACCTTCCAAATGAATCCGATAACAGCAAAGACATATTAAAAAGAGTGATTGCCTTTTACAATTAGACCAACATTATGATCGGCAACTCCTCATCTTTTCGTTTCCGCCTTCAAGTTCATTTTAAATTTTTCTCATCTCGTAAAAGGAATAGAATTTAATCAAGAGCGCGTGTTTACTTTAGAACGTTAACAGTCCTTCCTTGATCATTGTGTTTAGCGTACACTGATCTTGTCCAATGGAGGAAAACTTAAGGGCCAGATTTGCGAGGAAGTAATTTCCTGTCATTAAAAAGATTATCATAAGGAGGTAGTGCAGAGTGAGGCAAGTTCAACTGAATATTTATGTTTTCGTTGGCCGGTACTTAAGCATATGCACGTCAAAAGAAACACGTGCTCAAAAGAGCCGCATTTAAACCCTGATTTTCACTAACACTCATCATGAAACAGGCAAACGGTACAAGGAATCTTCCTTCTTGGGAAAAGCTACCGGACCTCCTGTCTTCCAACGAACCTTTGCTTAACACTGATACAGAAAATAGCTCAAATGCAGGTACTATGGCTGTTGTGATCTTTCTGGTATTAATTGCGCTTGTATCAGTATTGGGCAACGCTCTTGTTCTCACCGCAATCTACACGAACTATAGTCTACGAAATGTGGGTAACGCTCTTTTCGGAAACCTTGCAGTGTCGGACTTTCTTCAAGGAGGAATCGCAATACCTTGTCGTATTGTTGTTCTTTTGCAACCGAATTCCTATTTCAGTATGTCAATGTGCCGGGCCTCGATAGCTCTATCCATCCTCTTCGGGGGCAGCTCAAATCTTAACATTCTATTCATCAGCATTGAGAGATTTATCGGTGTTCGATGGCCTTTTCTTTATTACTCTTTTGTTTCAGCAAAAGTAATTTCCTCAGTCATCTTGTCGGCGTGGATTTTGTTAGCCCTTTTTGCGAGTCTACCTTTGTTTGCTTGGGGTGGGCAAACACATCTTCAAACGGAGTTCTGTTCTTTTACTTTGTTTCTTACTAAGGATTACATTGCCGCAGTTTACCTGCTCATTAACATCTTGCCATCAGTTATCATAGTATTTTTGTACATTTTCATTCTCAAGGCCAGTTTGCGAAGTATTCAGAAAATTCATATTCAGGAGCGTAGCGTCCGATCATCAGTACGTACATGTAACCAAGAGGATAATGGTGACATTTGGGAAACTGACGGCACCGCTCCTCAGGTGCGAAAAAACAAAGCCACCGAGGCAGCAAGGCAAAGAAAGTCCGCCAAAACTGTATCGCTCATTGTCGGTCTGTTTATTGTGCTGATAATGCCTATTGTCATACTTGATATTGTGGACATGTGCGGAGGTCTTAAAGTGTCTCCCCTAGTTGTCAGAATAACTGTTGGGATGGCCTATGCCAACCATTGTGTGAATGTTTTCGTGTACGCAGGCTGTAATGGAGACTACAAGCGGGCATTTGCAAAGATTTTATCAAGAATCAAAGCAAAATTTACAGGAGTACGCCATTAGGCTATACGGGAACTTGAGAAGACAAATACAACTGGAGAAGGAACATTACACAGCGTTGTTTCTGGCAAAATTGCCGGCTAGAATTGTGTTTGAGAAGGTCACCTTTTAAAGAAAAGAAAGACCCGCGTACGACACACTGATAGGAAGAAGGAATATGACGTGGGAGTCTAACTGTTTAATACTTATTTCAAATCAATATCCGAGTCTTACGAATGATACGTAAAGCATTGTCAATTATTTGACGTTATATTAACGTTAAAGATTTGATTGATCTTTTAATATTTTAGTTGGTTTGTAAGCGTCTCTGAGCCACACATAGCGAATTTAGTCTTCTTGTGGATAGACTTTGCCAGGATTGGGCGTGGTCTTGACCTTTTTTCTTCCCTTTCATTTGAAAATAATAGTAGCGTTTTGCAAATGCGGGATCGACAGATGAGTGCCTTTTTTAATTTTGTTGAGATAAATTTTTTCCGTTGGGCAAACGCACAAGAGGAGATACGGGCGACTAACAATATCTCGAAATTGGAAAAACATTGATAGATCGGAAGTTGAGAAAATGACCGGTAATGAGGAAAACCGTGGACTTCCATTTTCACTATTAAAATTTCGGACAGTAAACATATTGATGGCATTCAGTTTAAGTATGGAGACCGGTGAAGCAATATGAAACATTTCAAAGAAGGATTCATCAGCAAAGCTTTAGAAGAAACAATGCAGTTTAACGTACTTTGAACCATAAACAATTGAACTGGACCACTTCACATAATGACAAATTCAAATTTTAAAAAAAATAAAGCACTTTCTCTCTTACTTGTAAACCTAAATAATCTATTGCCTGCATTTTCAATGATTTTATGTCATTTGCTTCGTGAAGGCAAGAGAAACGAGGGAAAGCTAGGTTATTATTAAATTATGGACCTCGCGAAATGGAACCTGAAATGGGAAAATAATGGAGAAGGTACCTGGAAAAAGCGAGCAAAAGACAGAACAACCTGGAGGAACCTGATCAGAGCCTGAAGTCTTCATGAAACAGTCATTGTTGGGTCAATAGACTGCATAGTAGTAGTAGTGTAGTAGTGGTACATGCCTGAAACTTTAGAGAAGAAATCATAATCAGTTGTCAAAAAGAAAAACAAGCTTCTAAAAAAATAATGCAAAGTAATTTGCAAAATGTATATATTTGGCAAAAATTGAATCGAGAGAAAATAGAGCAATATTTATTTCACCATAGCCAAACTAATTCAACAATTAGTTGGCCAGTGGGAGAGCTTAAATTCATTGGTTGGGAATCTGATAACCATTTTCCATATGAGAAATATACATTATGAACACTGCTTTAAAAATGGGAAAAGTAACAAATAAGGAAAATTTCCGTACCTAAAAGAAAACAATTTAATCGAACCTGTTAGGATACGGTGATTATCTAATGTAACTCAAAGTGTACAACTAGCTGGCTTGAATGTAGGATTCTAATGTTCATATATATATATAAATTTAAATTTTGATGCAAAAGTGGATCTTTAAAGAGTCGTGAGGAGATGCTTTTTTATTTTAATTTCACGCCTTGATCAATGAAGTAAGAGGCTCCACCAGTTGAAATTTGTAATTTTTCTTCGTGTTGAACGCTCCTATTGCCGCTAAGGATGGTAGTAAAAAATCCCCCATACCAATCTGGTAATATCTTTTCGCAGCCTCCACTACTTTCATTCCAACGCGACAAAAACGTGGGCAACTTTCTGGTCAGAGGTTCATTTCAAACCAATGACCAACCTGGAACTTTTAAAATGCACTCGCTCACGATGCAAAATTTGTCCTTTCATTCACAACGTAAAGAAAATGTTGGTACCCAAGAGATCCATTAAGATCACTGAACACTACACGTGCACCTCTCCCAATGTTATCTATTGCATAACTTGCATATATTGAAAAAAGATATACATTGGTGAAACAGGAAGACGGCTAAGTGGCCGATTCCAAGAACAACTTCGCGACGTAGAGAGAAATGATCTGTACCGCAACTGCAAACTAAACCGGCCACGCAAAATTGACTAGCACTCCGAAATTCACCGCTTTACACAAAGCTTTAGCTGCACGAACCGGCGGGCGACGAGGACGAGGCGTTTTTGGCAGATGGCATTAATAACGGATTTCAACTGGTGGACCTTAATACGTAATTCACCGAGGTAAATATGGGCAATTATATATCGGCTACTAATCCCGCCATTTAACTGTTGGTGGAAAAAACCATTCGTGACGAAACCCAGCTTGGCAACTACGTCATTACGGCCACGAAACTTACGGTAGTAAGCATTTCAGAAGTGATTCCTAAATCAGCACGCAGTATTTTAAATTTCAGTCATAAGATGACGCCATCAAACTCCTAAAACCTTATTATTTCATGGCTAAAATAGATCTCAAACATGCTTACCGGTCGGTACCTATCCACCCCGCAAATTATCAGGCTTCAGGCTACATGTGGCGGTTCTTCGGGGGACGATTTTGACAGTTATTTTTGTGACACTCGCCTTCCATTCGGTGCTAAAAGCTCTCCTGAAATCTTTCATCGTCTAACACATGCTGTTCGGTGCATGATGGGGAAGAGAGGTTTTGTGAATATTATCGTTTATCTCGACGATTTCCTTGTCAATGGTGCTACTCAAGCGGAAAGCACTCATGCCCATGAAGTCTTTCCACAATTGCTGCAATATTTAGGCTTTACTATCAGTCAACGTAAACTCATGCCACCCTCCCGCACATTATCCTTTCTGGGTGTAGAACTGGATACAGTCTCGTGTGGCATCGCACTCCCACAGGAGAAATCTCACCAATCAGCAGCAGTTCTGCCCGCAGCAGGTGATTATTTCAGGGGCGATTGGTTTTATTTCAACTTCTTACTTGATCACCCAGCGTGTTCTTGTCTACATATTAACCACAAAGAAACTTTAGCTATAATTCTTGCTGCTACGCGATGGGGCCACCTCTGGGCAAACCATTGGGTTATTATTTATAGTGATAAGATAAGGGTGCAGATCATCAATAAGGCCAACGAACAACGAAATTATTATGCAGGAGCTCCGTGCGCTTTTCTGGCTTTGAGCGCTCCTCAATTTTCATAAAACTGCAAGTTATCTCGAGGGTTTTTGAAACACTATTGCCGATGCGGTTTCGTGCCTTCATGAGCGCCCTCATCTGTTATCCTTTTACTCCGTCCCAAAGGGTTGCGCTGCGGCGGCCAATTTGGCACTAACTGATCACACGTCGTCTCACGATCGCTCCTTTGAGTTTTCTAGGTGCACAAGACCCTCGGTTGGCATCTCAATTACAAAAGGAAATTACTAAGTATCGTTCTCAGCTCTAAGCAGAATTCACTATAGCAACTTACAAAACTCATCGCGACACCTACTTGAAGGTCTGCCTCTACATGGGTTACACTTCGGTCCCAGTTCAGTCTGATCACCTGCTGCAATACGCCGCTTTCTTAGCCCGTAGCCTTAAAGCTGCCTCCGTACGAAGCTACCTGAACATCATTGATATACTTCACAAGGAGTTTGGCCTGCCCGATCCGCTGCTCGATAACTGGCCGCCTAAGTCATTGCTCACCGGTATCAATCGATCTAAAGGGCTAAATTTTCTGGGTTTGGACCGTTGGTTTGGTGTATTAGTCAAATATCTTTATCTAAAGCTCATCCTACCCACTGCTAAGCTCACTCTTTGAGTTTAAGCGTGAAAGATATGACCTGTAACTGTAAACTTTTGTCACAAACAGTGGATATTGCCAAGGATATCGTCACCCTGATCAAATTTTCACCAAAGTGGGATTCCTTACTTCAACAGCTCAAAGAAAATCTGGGGACGGAAGACGAGGATACTAGCTCCCGTGGAATTATTAGACTTTGCCCTACAAGATGGACGGTTAGAGCCAGTTTTTTTGGACAAATTGTTGAGAACTATGCGGTTCATATGGCAGAGTGGAATGTTTGCTTATCCTAACGATTACAGCCCGATGTGCGTGCAAGGATAATATGATGTAAGGCCCAAATGGACCGATTTGAATTTTTCTTTAGTTTTCATCTTGGAGAGCGGCTTTATTCCTACACCGATAATCTATCTAAAAGTCTTCAAGGTAGTAAGATGGCTGCTGTCAGTGGACAACGCCTGGCAAATCTAACAAAGGAGACGCTCACAAAAATGCGCATTAATCAGAGCTTCGACCTTTCTATGCTAATGTTGCCCGCAAGAGTGCAAGCCTGGTTGGCCACACTTCCAAGAAAGCGACGCACTCCTGCCGGACTAGAGGTTGGTGCTCGTGCACCAAGCTATTCCCAAACTGCCAAAGATCATTTTAGAAGGTCCATTATGAGGCTACTGGTCTTATTGTCAATGCTATCGATCAGCGCTTTAACCAGGAAAGCTTCAGCTGCTAAGCCCAAATATAGACCCTCTTTGTTAGAGCTGCTAATGATGACGACTATGAGGCAGAGTTCAAGTTTCTTGAAGCATCATACAGCGAAGATGGGGATACTGAGGCACTACCTGGGCAACTAAGTTTTTTGGAAGTTATGTTAAAGGAGAAAGTATCATGTTTTAACGAAATCCTGTTGGCGGTGTCAAAGTCTCCAGAACCAGAAAAGAGGCTAATTCAGGTAGTCCAAAATATCTGTAAGCTGCATGCCGTAAATCCTGCCACCAGCGCTGCTGGCGAGCGTTCATTTTCATCTGCACGGCGTCTGAAGACGTGGCTTCGATCTAGGATGGGTGGCGAAAGGTTTAGCAACCTAGCAGCGTTGAATGGCCACAAGCAGATAACAGACAATGTTTCTATAGCTGACGTCGCACAGGAGTTTGTTTCCCGCAATGAGAATCGCAAGAGAAACTTCGGCGAGCAGCTTCAAGACGAAGCAAGAGTACGTAGTTGTATTTAACACAATAACTGTATTGGATAGTAAAACAAGTGAGGATGTCTATGTTATATTAATTGAGGTTGTAAATAAGATGGCGCGCAAATGCAAGATAAATGACGCACACTTCCTTAGCGTTTGTTCGCATTGGCCAGATTTTTTAGCCCTACCACTTTAAAATGGTCTTCGCGGCCCCTGCTTTGTCAATAGATGCTCTAAACAAGCGAAAACCATTTCTGAAAACGTAACTTCGGTTTTTCTTTTTGTATTTTGGTTTTCTTCCCCTTCTAGGAAAATAAGCGATACGGATTTTTCCGTGTTTCAGCAGCCATAATCCGAGAACATTCCGACAAAACAACCACGGATTGAAAATGGTGAACGATTTGCCATTCTTTCATCAACCTGACCAGTGGTGCGAAACGCGAGTGACGTGTCAGCATTTGATTGGCAATATCGATACACGTGAAAAAATATCGTATTTTTTCACGAGTGTTGTTACGGCTTTTTTTTCTTTTCTTGGAAATCCTTGTATAACGCCGTAGTCTATATGATGATATCCACATATTTTGTGCGGGGACTCTGTCTTGCAGTCTTGAGGTCGTCCACAGGAGGGAAGTTCACAACTGTACTTCCTCTTTATCAATATTATTTTCATTATCGTCATTACTATTATCATCATTTTTGACTGGCATGACAGCTATTATCAGGTCGATTTTCCCTCGGACCGTCTATACCAAATTTATTACAGAGTTCGACTAGTGCGATGGTCTGTTATTACAAAGCGCAACAGTGCTTTTATTTCAAAGTGCGACAAGTGTTATTACTGAGTGTGACAGGTATTACATAGTTCGACAATTTCATTACAAAATGCAACGATTATTACAAAATACAACAGAAAAGGCACTCTCTATCTCTTGAATCCTTAGTGCTGGAGGCATGGCATTCTGTGTTACCATAAGATAGTTAAATAATTTCCTCTGCCTTTGATTACATTCGCCAACTAAGTTTACGGTTTTGTAAACCCTGCTCACCTTCATCAAAAGAGAATGGCAAAAAGCTGTTACGATGTACATTAGGTCAGTATATGTACATATGTTAATGTTTAAGGTTTTATAATTTTTTCACGACGTTAATCAAAAGCCCTCCCTTGAAATCTTCCTTGTGTGTTCTTATCACGAAGTACGCTCTTGTCAATTCATGCAGCTTTGGTCTTCATACACGTATACAAATTATACAAAAGTTGAAATGTATTATGCAAATATATTAAATTTATTATGCAGCGAATTGTTGACCGAGACGTTATTATCTACGGAGAGAACTATGAAGAAAGGGGGTAAGTTTCTAAAGAAACTGTGGTGCTGTGTCGGTGAGGAGTATAACAAGATAATCTGGCTAAGTTGATAATTTAAATTGGCCTCTGTAAAGAGTTTCTAAATCTAAGGTCTCGAGTGTGAGCTTTTCATCAGAGAGAACAAATTGTCGAACTGCTTACTATCATCTTAAACCTATCATTAGAATTTCACTTTAACAGGAATATTTTATATGCTTCATACACGCCGAGCCCGCTTCTTTTCCTGTTTGTTTAAATCCTTCTTCAGTCATGCCCTCCTGTTCTACGCAAACGGAAAACATTAACACATTTTTTAAGAATATTTTTAAAAGCCCTCCTATAATCAGAGTTTAAACCAGCGTAAACGAAAACGTTGACGCAATGATTCGCGTAAATCATCAGCACAGCAATTTTAACAACAGCTTCTGGTATCACGGCAGCCGTCAGCATCTCAACGATGTCGATGGTTACAATTGGAACTACTAGCAAGATGAAGGATCCCACAACTGCAGCCACAATAAACGTCGTCTTTCGCTGTTTCATGGCTTCTACCTTCTTCTGTCTCACTGCCTCCACCGGCTGTGGAAAAAATTGGGAATTACTATCCCTTCCCGGGAGGTTAAAACCGCTGGAAACGACTTGTGCTTCAATTCGCCGTAAGTGACGAAGACTTTCTCTTAAGATGAAAACGTTGAGGAAGGTGACAACGATTATGGGAATGACGTGAACGAATAGGTAAAGACATGTGATATACTCCTGAATTAGAAACGATGGGAATCGACAGAAGGTTACCACTGTTTCAGGCTCTTTTCCACCCCAACCTAAGACAGGCAGGAGTGAGACAGTCACCACAGACAACCAAATCACGCAAACTCCCATCAAGACCTTTTTTGTCGTCATCCAGCTGTAGTAGCAATACGGGAAAAAAATGGATACAGACCTTTCAACAGCGACAAGAAGAATATGAAGATTTGAAGCAGCGCCAAACAACGTAGACACTGGTATCGCAACAGGACAGAAAGATTTTAGATCGCAGTTAACGTCCAGAACTTCTACTAGTCTTAAGGGGAGTGAAACTGCACCTTGGAAGAAGTCGGGTACAGCTAAAGCCACCAGGAGATAGTTACTTTTCGTTTGCAGACGTGTGTTGATGTAAACCGCGAGTATAACTAGAATGTTCCCAAACACTGCAATTACAGCAATGACTGCGTATATCAAGGAGATTAAATAAGTTTCTGCTCTTTTAACGGATGCGGAAATCTCAGAGTTATTGCTTACGTTTAGCGGATGAGTATTCATATTACCAACGAAGGCGATATTGCGTGAATAAACGTTTTCTTTCCGTGTCGATTAGTTTGTTGTTTTCCTCGCTGCACTTCTAAAAAGTGTTTTTAACCACAATACCTGTTTGCTTTATTTTAATTAAACTCTTTGTAAACTCCATCATCATCAGTGGCTGCCACCAAAGTCAACTAAGCATGCAATCACACTTGATGTTTCCTTCTTTTCTCCTTCGTTTGCTCATATGTTTGAAGGTGTTCGGTTCAGCTTCGTATTTGCTTACGATAACTCCTAGGCGAATCTGTACCAGTTTGCGTATCTGTAACAGTATGTATCTGAACAGAACTGAATCTGCATTTAAATACGACACCCGGTTTCAAAGACCACCGTTTCCTTTAGGGAAACGATTTAATCGATAATAAAGTTGTATAGACATAACAGAGCTGAGAATGACTCATTTGACATTACTTAAGATAGCGGACCGTTCTTGGTTTACTGAGGAAATGAAACGACAAAATAAGAGACTCTACCACGTAATTGAATGAAGTGTTTGGTTCGCCAAAATTACATCAATTTAGCATCCAATTATGAAGCAGAGCTCTTGTGGATTAAGAAACAGCTGCGTATTTTTTAGGAAAGATTTTCTCTCGATCATGCTTTCCTCTTTGTTTTCGCACGACTTTAAAATGATGTCAAACATGTGGATTGTCATCAGTATATTAGCGAAATGCGGCTGCAATTTTGATATGGCATACCGGCTTGGATGAAAACCTGAAAGTGTGTCGTGCATGATTTGATATGTATCTGAAAATGTCGGTCACAAGTAAACAATAAAAGGTGGCGAATGGTTCATTAGTCGTGTACGAACAGTCTAAGAGGAAGTCTCTTTTTCATACGAGTCATCTTTAAAGGTTTAGAAAATGCGTCATCGGGCCTCTGTGACTCCTTCAATTTGTAATACAATTTTCAGCAATCCATAGCAAAGCTCTTAACGCCGCGATTAACCCTGTGACACTTTGTAGTCAACAGCCAATTATTGTCCTTATAACCCAGTTGCAGTGTCACCTGATGTAACCAATCAGACCAATATATCCTCTGAATGTAATGAAACTAATAATTATTTCAACAACGAAGTTCTTAACTATATGGAAAACGAGGAAAGTCCTCTGCGAAATTTTATTGCTTTGAAGAACCGGGTTGGCGATTATACTCTTGAAATACTCTTGACATCACTTCAAGCATTGATTGACAACATTCTCTGGTCTAGGTATCTATTTTCAATCTTCTCTCTTTTTTGAAATTTAAATTGCTATCAGATATATGAACTGTGACATTACCAAAATTCTAAAGTGTATATGTGACCGTTTGGAAACTGTTTACTCGTGAAAAAATTAAGGCAGACGTTGACGGGAATCAGGAGCCTTAAACTTACACCAGCAATAGATTATTGGCCAAAATCAAGTCCTTTCAAGAGTTTATTCTGGTCACCACAGTAAGGATACAACTTTACAATACTAGCTTAGCTACATGCGTCAAAATTAAAGCAGAAACCGTCTTCTTACACTGAGTAATAATCGTAGCGGGATCACTGACATGTCCATCATCCGCCATTCTGCAATTTTCGAACAAAACACGCTCGCAGTATTTCTACAATAACATACTTTCATCCGAGATAATTAGGGCTTTAAATTCTTGTACTCTTGTAAAAAAAAAAAAAAAAAAACGGGGAATGATCTCACATATTCTCAAGATTACAAGTAAGATCAGGATTAAACTTTTCTGCACAGCAGCAAAATTTCATAAATTCAAACAGTTCTTTAGGAAAGAAAGGACGGATTTTAATTTAGCTCACCTTTCCTATAACTAACCAAGGTATAAAAATAACCTTAATTAAAGTTTCTAAATTATTCAAGTTAAGGAAAATGAAGAAAAACAACCAACGAAAGCTGAGGTGTTAGGGCTTAGTTGTTATTCAAAACCGCTAAATTTAGTGACCAATTGAAAGGAACTCGTTTTTTTTGAGGACGCAGATTAATATTCTGAACAGGAACTAATAAGACTTGATTATCCAACATTAAAAATTGTAATGACAAAAACGTTTTTTATCCTCAAAAGTAAGTCCTCATGGTAAACTTAAAAACATTCGTCGGCTATCCCATTTGCAAACTTCACACCAGTATCTCGCGGGTGATTGTTATCGCTCATTATACATCACTCGAAATAGAAGTAAATTGCGAGTTAATTTTTTGCATAAATTTACACTTTATAAGGTGTGGACACTCTTAGTTATTCCGTTTTAGCCCAGTCTAAGGTCTATAAAACCGGATCCTATTCACGAGTTCATTAAGTTAGTTATAAAGGTAACTGATGAATATGAAAGCGACCTTCGCAGTAACGAATACTACTTAGGCGGTAGTGAAAATGAGGCTCAAAATAAGGGAAAAATTCAAGCCTGTACTGGATTAAAGCCAATGACCTTTGCGATACCGGAGCATTGCTCTACCAACTGAGAGTTGTAATGAACTCGTTAGGTGGTGAGTAAATGATTGTGAATATATGAAAATCAAATATTTACGTATTCACAGTAATTTAAAGAATGACTAGCACATTTTCTACGTTTGCAAAAAAATGAAACCTGACTTTGGTCTAAAGATGTCAAATGATCATCAGAATAAGAGCTTGCGAGGAGACGTGATTCCTGGAAAAGTTAAGCGTCTTGCAGATCCACCTGTACTCCGACTTCAGCTGTCATCTTTCGCTTCGATAAATGGCTTCCTGAACTGGACTCGAGACCATAGTTGGCATATCCTGGAAGATTCCGAATGGTAAGTATTTGATCCATGTTGGCTCCGTGCCTATTAGCTAGAGCTTCATTTTTGGTGTATTCTCCGAAACTGTCGACTCCGTCCTCTTCTCCCTCCAGTGTATCGTTTTCCAGTCCAAAGATGTCGTCCTCAGAATCATTACAGTCAATCCCGTGCTCAAGTTTGTCAGTACCTAAGGGTATATCAAGAGTGTCTGGTTGTAATGCAGTCTTACTTGACATATTGTTGATCCAACACGTTCCCGACGTGCCATATGAATGGCAGAAACTTAAGGGTTAGAGGTGATTGAATAGCAAGAGCCTAAGAAAATTTATGTAAATATAAGAAATACACAACAGAAAGGGACTGCACTCCTAAAATGTAGCTGGGGATAGGAAAAGACTCCATTGCTTCTCCCCCATACCAAGAAATTACAAACAGTTTATAATCTGTGCCTGTGGTGCTTACGCTGCCTGTGACCACACCAATTTGTACGCAGAGATAGCTTTTCTCTCGAAGTATTCACGTCTTTAAATATTGGTTTTTTGGTATTTACTGCTGTTGTGTAGCACGATACCATCCTACGTTTTCGTCATGTGGCGAGATTTTCACATAAAAGTTTTTAGAAAAGAAAGCAGTCAATACATCTAACGTTTGTGGAGACTCGTGCAAGCATGGCAGAGACGTGAGGGTAAAAATCACTTCAGGTGATGGGGAAGAAAGAGAGTAATTACGGCTATCAAGGTATATTTAAGTGGCACACAAAGTGTGCATGGTGTCATTCCAGTCGTGTTGAACTTGGAAAATTAATCTTACCTATGATCTCTTGCTCACGAGTGAGTCTAATTGGAAGAATTTTATTGATAAGAAACAATTGTAGCCATGTAGTCATAGCGCTCCAAGCGGCAATAACGACACATGCCAGAAGTTGGACACCAAGCAGTTTTACGCTGCCACCTTTGAAGAGCCCACGAGCATCTGACAATCCCTCAAGCTCGTCTTCTTCTACAAATAAAGCGACTGCAATCATCCCCCAAATACCAGCGACAGCATGAGTTCCTATGCAACCCACAGGGTCATCGACTTTCAATCTAGAAAATAATTTTTTTTGTTGCATATTCATCAGTTTTGGTCGTTGTTGAAATGGGCCCGAAAAGCAGCATAGAACAATTTATGTTTGCAAACAGTTTGAGCAAAGAACCAAAAAAAATAAAAAAATAAAAATCCAAGATAAAGCCAGGATTCCTGTGCTTTAATCGAGTAAAATTGTAAAGCTGTCATGCAAATAGAAGCCCCTTACGCTTCTAAGGTAGCGTGGAATTGTTTCCTTCGTTCCCCTTAGAAATTGGCAAACGTAAGAACCAAAACCCTAATTTAGTGTTCAATAGCCGAATCAAACCAGCCGAGAAATGAAGAGGACAATACGAGTTTTTTCTCAATCCCCCGACTATATATGACATGCTAAAGCGTTCATTACACTGCCTGTAGCAAGAACGGTTTTCATAGCAACCTGTCAATAATGTCGCAACTGCCGCATGCAACCAATCCTCCTATGAATCCTATGAGGAAGGCCTCCCAAGGACGACACACAGCACAGATGGCTGTGATACCCACGAGACCTCCTAGAATGCCAGTTATGAATACTGCCACGTCCAGCTTTCCTTTTCGGTAGTAGTAGCTGTAAGCTATCCCTAAGATTCCTCCTCCAATTGACCCGTTCAATGTTACTATTGCTGACCTTGAGGCAAGTAGCCATTTTCCTGTGGAAGAAAATTTAAGACCCGGTTTTTACAAAGATCATGACTTTAAAAACTTTGTGTGATTTTTCCACCAGGAGGTTTTCAAGTCAGTTCTAAAGGTGAAAAAAATTCTCCTGCCAGTGTTGTTTCATTTTCCTTTTAGATTTTTTATCACAACAAAATAACTGAAACATCTACATGCCTCCACTCATTCCAAAAGTGCTGCCACAATTAAACCCAAGCCAGCCCCACCACAGCATAAACGTTCCTAGTAGAACATTGGTGAGTGACCCCGGCTTTCCTTGTTTGACTGAATTGTCATATCGTCCTAGTCTCGGACCCAGCATGATCGAGGCCACCAAACCAGCGACTCCTCCAACTAAGTGAACACCAGAACACCCTAAAGAAAAATCGAATCAAGCTCTAATATTCATCAATGCTCTCCACAAATCCTTTTTAAAAAAATGAAATAATTAACGTGTCGTCTTAGTCGTGTTTTCCTGATACAACCATCCTCAACGATGTCTAAAACTGCAACATTTTTCCTTTTAAGCTTCTGAAGACTTAGGTGTGTTATAGCGAAATAAGTTATGAATATTCTCTTGATAGCGCAAAGTTTCATTTTGATTTACCTGCAATGTCAATAGCACCAAGCTCCTTGAGAAAGCCTTTTTCACCCCACAGCCAATGTGCTGGAAAGACGTACGATATCGTGTTGGTAAAAGAGTAAATTGTGTATGCATGTAGATGAGTTCTTTCCGCCATTGCCCCCGACACGATGGTTGTGGCAGTTGTGGCGAACGACATCTGAAAGAAATACAGGGCGAACACATCTCCTTGCTCAGCTTCTACGTCCATCGCAAAATAACCTGGCGGGAAAGCAAACAACGAAAAAGCGTTCGGTTGAGACATTTCCATGTTATTCTTGGGAAATACGAGATATGCACTCAGCAAAGTGCATCAAATGACACGGAGATGTAGAGTGAGCCTCTTTTTCAAACGTTGATAAAATTCATTGAATAATTTTTCAGTTAATATTGAGAGGGTAGAAGCAGCTGGTTGGCTAGTTTAATGGCTCAACCCAAAACTGACGAAAAATAAAACAATAATTAATTGCTGTGACAATAACATCGATTTTCTCAGAATCTTCGTTGCGCCTTAGCTAGTGAATGAAGCAAGGACAGTTTTGCTTTATCAGTTACGAAGCCAGGAAGCTGGTTCGCTACTTTGAAACTTCATTGCTGTGCGTGCAACTAAGATAAAAAACGATTCTTTTTTAATTTCTGGCGACACATAATTTCAGGCAAATTGTATGAAAAAAGTTTACAAACTGTCTCCATTTCTTTACCCATGCCACAAAAGGCATTTGTTCCTTCAGCGATGCCAAAGCTAAAAGCAAATCCGTACAACCAATAAGATAGTCCTCCATATATGACGTCCACGGCATTTTTAACCATAATATTGACCTCATTCTTCTGGGAGACCAGACCTGGAAATCATAGGGATATGACGCCTGCGTATTAGGAGCCATTAAAAATTGCTTTTTCGGTCAATGTCCTATATAAATACGTTAAAATGATGTAGATTATTGAGTTACCAAACGTTGTTCCTAGTTATTCTCAGATATGAACATCAATAACCTTATTTTTGTCACAATCCGAAGCGGGCTTTAGGGTCTGAAGACTCTTTGCAAGATATAACCTATTTTAGTACGGTCAAATTATAAGGAATACCTTCATTATGGTTATTTGGCATAACATGTATTATGCTTCAAAACTGCCAGTTTATGTTACGTGTCTTCAGCACTCTCAATTCAGTTACGAACCGACTCTCGCTCAACCTAGTATTTTTAACCCTTCAACTCCTAATATCTAATTGTTAATTATCTCCTTTAGCTGCTACACATTTTCCTGTAAATTGATCATGAGAATCTGTTGTTAGATCAAAACAAAAACTCCTACCTGACAAGTTTGAGTATTCTCATTACCTGTTTGCAGGAAAATGTATGAGGAGAAGGTAGAAGTTACATGTTAATCACTTCTAGGAGTGAAAGGGTTAATAAAAATTTCTTTTCAAAAACGAACCGATATTGAAACAGATAAACGTGAAAAAATCGCGACGGGAAAAATCATGATACAATTTTACAAGGTGTCGAGTTCCAATTTAAGCTTACGTAACTGTTAACTGATTTTCCAAAAAAAAAAAACACACACAAATATACCAAACTTCGACTTATCATTCTGGTTTATTTTCTACCTCTGGTGTATCCTATGTCTTGGTTACGCAGTTTTTTATTTCTTTTTGTTTGAGTGAGTCAGTGCAGTGGAATTTTTTTTATCAGCTTTTTTCCGAAAATGAACCAGCAAATTATACACTTTGGGTAAACAAACCTGACTCCACTAGTCCGAATCCAGACTGCATTGTAAATATTATGAAAGCACTTGTCAAAATCCATGTTGCATCGTCCGAATTCAACTCAGCAGGGCTTGTTACAGACTCGCTTCCATTTATGTTAGTACTAGAAGAGTTCATCTCTAATTTTACCATCAGTTACAGCCGGCGGACTCGCAATTTATGCAAACTGAAACAGTGCAAGCTACCGCATCCTATTAGCAATTTTTAAATAACTTCTATTGATTTAAATATACAACAGTTCTAAGACAAACAAACAAACGACACAAAAATATAAATTAATTTTCGTTGAAAATGAAGATTCGTTTATTCTCGTAATCAACATGTTTGACCCACAAACCTCCGTAATACTTAAGGGTTGCATTGAATGTCAAGTTTCTTGAAATTTCTCGCCATGAAACTGGATCAAAATTACCAATTAACCAATGAAAACCTCCCTGCTGATTTCTGAAGATTACTCTCGAAATAAATGGAATAGAAAAGCTATCATCCTCAACAAACATGTTGCTTAAGAAACGTGAGTAGTACAGTAGAGTAGTCCGTTGAAATTGACATTTCTCTCTTCCTGTATTTCGTTTCTCTGTTGATCGGCTGATTTTTGTGTTTATATGAAAAAATGAAACAAGGCTCCTTTTCAGCAAGGTGAAAATATATTTGTATGGAATTTTGTACCGCCCAACAGGGTGTTTACTCGTAATAGGTTTCAAACGAAGATCAAAACAAAAATTGAGAACTCAGTTAACACAAGCAAATGATAGCTGTTGCTTCTTAGGCGATCGACTTTGTTCATGAATTATTCTGCATATCTTCGAGACTCTTCTTTGAAATTATCTCCCGCCGGATAAGCGCTGGGTCTATTTACAGGTTGCCTCGACTTTTCGCATGTTATGTTCCTTTCAGACGCTCCAGCGTTTGTATAACAACACATTCTCTGTACTAAATAAGCCTTATCCACCTCTATAACCTACGCAGTTTATGCGACCCTGTCTTTTATTCGAGAAACGACCGGATGCAAACAAAATTACAAGGATGACTCATATTTGTTAAGATTTGATTTGAGCTTAGTTTAGCTTTTTTTTGAGAGACACTTACTCACTTCAGCTCGCATAAATCATAAAATGTATTCAAAAGATAAAAATTTTGGTTATGCAATAGTTGCGATTTGATGTTTAATAAAGGTAATGTATACACTGGTAATCCGTTATCATCAGAGTCCTCCGTCATGAATTGTTAATTTAAAATTTGTCTTTTTTGAAAGTAGAAAATTTATATTGAATCCCGTTAAAAAAAATTCAATGGATCCAGAAGCATTTCGCTTTTTTAAGGGTTCTTTTGATTTGCCTGTTCGCCGACATTTTACATTTGTTTGGATTCGGTAAAATTATAAAAAAGCTGAAACAATTAAGATGTCAAACACCCTATCAGAATTCTTCTTTGCATGATAAAAACGAACAGGTGAGAATATTTAACAAAGAATTGTTTATATTCTAACTTGGTCTGAATTATTAACCATAACCAGCGCCAATCGTCTATTTGCGATACAGAGTGCAATGGAAAAGACTCACAACATTCGTTAGAAAATTTGTAAGAGAAGCTCGCTTATTTTCTAATTCTTGATATTGATGCATGAAATCTGTTCTATAATGAAGTATTTGTTCAAAGCTTTGTTCAAGGACGAACTTTGCATACTAATGATTTCATATACAGTGTTGGTTGTATATGACTCATGAAGTGGTGCTAAGTGTCACAAAGAGGTAGGCAGGACTGAGAAAGGCCCTTATTTCAAAGAAACAAAACAGAACAAAACTCAGAATCTGAATCGCGTGCTTAGAAAACAGCCGTTTACCGACAGGCTAAACTAACGCCGTATGTATGAATAATTTGCGATTGCTTTTGTTAACGATCTGCGTGAAATCTTCCTTTTTAAGCGATTTTTGTTATATCATAAGGTACTTTTTAACCAATCTTTACCTAAACTTTTGAGAAAAAGTAATCATAATCAGAGGGAACAGAAATATCATTACAAATTTGTAAATCTCTTCTGCTACACTAGGTTACTATTTATGTCAAATCAACCCACCATATTAATTATTTCAGATACGTAAAGGAGCCGAAGAATCACTCTTTAACTTGGGAAGAGACCAGCATCAGCAATCATGGCCGACCCGGTGACGAACTCGTCGCTTTTCAATGGATCCTCTGTTCCGTTTACCAGCAGTGAACTACCAACTACAAGTCCTCGAGGAAGAGATACCATGGATGGCCCGGGTGATGCTGTTTGGATTTTAACCAGTGCTTTCATCATTTTCACGATGATTTCGGGATTTGGACTTGTAGAATCTGGTAGGCTTATTCTTGGGATTTCAGTTGGTTCCTGATGCTTGAAACACCGAATTAAAAAATTAGAAATGTATCGTTTTAATTTACTTCATATTTCGAGTTTTCGAGATCTTTATTTCACGTTATCCTAAATGATTGTTCAGTTCAGTTTACCAGTGATGTCAAATTTGTAATCATGGGGTTTTTAAGATGGAACTTATCATGTCTTCCTCGGCTTATGGAAACGAAACTCGAAATTTCCCATCAGCATTAACCGAAATCCAAAGATCTTGAAGGTTTTACCTTCACAAAATCAGTAAAGGAAAATGACTGAATCATGCTGAATGAGGGAAGGCTGAAACTCCATTAGTGGACGGACTTTATTTAATACACGCCAGCTCGCAATTTGTCGATTAAATTCCCCCTTGACTTCTTATTTGCAAGTAGACGAATTAATTTTGGATCTGTCAAAAAATAATATTTTAATTGTTTCCTCTTCGCTTTATAATGTTCGTAATGCGTTTCCGAACGCGGATTCGTGAGATTCGGAAGGTTTTTCCTACCTCATGCGTTAGTCTTACCATATGTTTACTCGGCATATCAATTTTAGTTTCCTGTTTTTTGTAGAATATGATAACTTCCTATATTGCAAAATTCGCCCCTACGTCAAATATGTCATTTATGAATTTTTTTTTCCCTGTTTCGCATTTCTTCATGTGGCTAATTGTTCTATTTCTCCACCTGTAAGTTGGCTACCAATGGCCTTGTCATGCATGTCTTGCAATTATTCTCGGGCAAGTTATTCCATTAAGAGCCTGGATAATGCTGCCTAAGCTCTGTTTACATCAAAGCCATATTTTAATGAAATCATAAACATGAGTAGAAATCGGGAGTCTGCTAAATAATCCAATCATAAACCAGCAAAATAATTTAAGTAAGCTTTCGCACGAAAATATATACATGGTAGCTAATCGTCTCAAATGAGGTATTTTCAGAGGAGAGCTTAAATTAAATGGTTCATTGCTATGCCTCATTGTAGGAGAAAATATTATGGTGATACACAAGAGGCTCGCCTCTGCAAATAAAACAAAAATAAAATAATAAGGATAGCAAGAACTCCCTTAATTTGCGGTTTAATAGTGGCGTTGAAATTAGACATTTCAAATTATCTTAACGAGAAGAAGATTTGAATCACGTGATTCTAGGTGTTTGGCAAACTGTTCTTAGCGACGGCAAATTTGGCTTTTAATTTCTATTTTCTGCTAGTGAGGATATTGTTCTATGGGATGGTAAGTAGCTATAGAGGTTTGCAGCGAACAATTTTTTGTATTTAAGCCTTTGGTTTGCCTTATTAGGGTGGAAAACTTGGCCTTTGGAAACACCAAATGAAAGCTAATTTCTAACCTGTGACATGTGCGTTTTTGTCGTTGCCCGTTGCGTAAGAGGCCAAAATTCTAAAACAGTACTACCTGAGCTCTGTTTCGACGAATCCTAACACACGAAACCGGTTCCATTATCGCTAATATGTGATTAGCTGTATCTTTAAGGGAATATTCATTGCTCTGACTGTGAAGGAGAACAAGCTTTCTGACACTTTTTGGTTGCAACATAAAAAAAATGATTAATTAAAACATCAGGAAAAGTTCACTCGTCATATCATTAAGTACTCCAGTATTTTAATTTGGATGTACAATTTGGATATGGTCAATAATTTCTCTATTGCTTATATCTAGGTATGGTCTCTAGGAAGAACGAAGCAAATATAATGGTGAAAAACGCTGTTGATGTTATATTTGGCGGCCTGGGGTTCTGGATGTTCGGCTTTGCTTTCACTTTTGGAAAGGACGAAGGTGCAAATGCATTCTCTGGCTATGGAAACTTTTTCACCGACGCAGAGGAGACGCGAATGGGCGACGTGTTCGCACTTTATTGTTTTCAAGCCTCTTTTGCCACTACCGCTACAACCATCGTTTCAGGAGCAGTAGCGGAGAGGATGAACTTAAAGGCTTACATAATATTCGCCTTTACAAATACCTTAACATATTGCTTCCCAGCCCACTGGGTATGGGGGGACACAGGTTGGTTACGTAAGATGGGAGTGGTCGACATGGGTGGGGCCAGTCCAGTACATCTTGTGGGAGGAGTCGCAGGTCTGGTCGCAACTATCATGCTCAAGCCCCGAGCTGGAAGATTTAAAAGCTGTTCAGATGCAAATGCACCCTTGACGCACAAAATGGGAAGTCCAACGAATGTATTGCTTGGTATGTACGGGTATTTAAATTTTTAACTTTGGGTTTGAGATTTCATGCTTCAGTCGATAAGTCAGTTTGTTTAAAAATCGGTCAATGAATCGGCTAGTAACTTAGTCATTCAATCCGTCAGTCAGTTATTTGGTCAGATTCATCGGCAGCCATGATTTGAGTCAATAATATGAGTAGTTCATATACCATTTATTTTAAATTAATATTTCTGGATATTTACCACTATATTTGTACCGTTATAAGAAATTTCTTTAAATTTTTACAGAAGAGAAACTACGTTATTCCTCCTATTTCTCTCATTACAGGAATGTTCATGCTATGGTGGGGTTGGCTCGGTTTTAACTGTGGAAGCACATTTGGGGTCAGCGGTGGAAGATGGAAGCTTGCCTCTAGGTCTGCGGTCTGTACCATAAATGCTTCATGCGGTGGTGGTGTTTTCGCTACTTTTTACAGCTACTTTAAATGCAACAGGTGAGATAACAGGCATCATTGCCAAACGATAATTTCCTGAACGTGATGCATGCATGTTTTAAGGCAACCTTTTGTAAGTTCTTAAGCCCTCCTTAATTCTTTGTTTCGTTCGGTCACTTAGACAGTGAGGTTGAGAGGCTTGTACATGAATGATTCCATAGACGAAAAAACCAACTTTTCATACATTCCTACTAATAAATACTGGATGTGTCTTTTTGAATTGATGATATCCGAGCTTTCAATATTTTAAGGGTTTGAGTCCGAAACGCATCTACACTCAAGGTCATCTGAGTTAGATTTTGTATCTTTGCGATGTCATCTACTAGCGGTAAGGTTTTCAAATCTTCTCGGGAAAGGACACGAAGAAACATCGCTTTGACAATGGCCATAACTGTGACAACCAATGATCTCTAGGTAGGAGTCATTGTTAAATTTAGCTTCCCAACCACTGTTTAATCAAGGACAGAAATGTAAGGGTATCAACGATAAACTAACATCTTACGTTTCTCTTCTAGGTTGGACATTCCTTTCTTCATGGTTGGAGTACTTGGTAGCCTCGTTAGTATCACTGCCATATGTGGTGTTGTGAGACCAGGAGAGAGTTTAGCAATAGGCTTCATCGGTTCAGCAATTTCTATCCTTGGCTGGCAGCTTCTGAGCAAACTCAAAATTGATGACCCTGTAGGTGCAGTTCCTACCCATGCAGGAGGCTCTATATGGGGGATGTTAGCTGTTGGACTCTTTGTTGAAAAAGACACCCTTGAGAATACTTTCTCCTCAACTTATGGTGCTTTCAAAGGCGGTCATGTGAAGATACTTGGTGTGCAGCTTTTGGCATGTGTGTCCATAACAGTATGGACCGTCATAACAGTTTTTATGCAGCTTTACATCATTGAAAAATCTGTGGGGCTGAGATTCCCACTTGAGGAAGAGATCCTCGGAGCTGATGCCTGTGAACATGGAATTGACCAGTCACAAGCTAGACCTGAGAACCGGGTACGCCCCGTGACAGGGTCACAGAATAGAGTGTTCCCCATAGGCGACGATGGACATATTGGAGAAGCGGATTCAAATCCCCAAAAAAATCCTTCAGCACGTAATGGAACTTCTAAACCTGGAAGTGATGACACTAGACTGCAAGACTGTGAAGAATCTGCCACTGAATCGATATCCGAACTATCGTTAGAGAGCATCCCGGGATATGATAAAACGACGCACAGAAAACAACACAGTTCATTCCATGAAGCCGAGAATAACTTTGATTCCAACAGTTCCGGCAATGTTTTTAGAAAAAGGTGGGATAAAGTTCTCCAATCTACGAGAAAAGTCAGCTTCTCCGAGAAAAATGGGGATAGAGACGTCCCTAATGAATTTTCCCAGCCTAAGGCGAAAGTTCCCGTGGTCATAACCCTCACACCAGCGGATGACAGTCGGGAATTAAGGCTGAGTTTAAATGACATGAGAAAACTGACAAAGTAAATGCTTTAAAACCTTTATTATCAAGATCTAAAAATAGTGGTAAATTTCATTCAAAATCCACTCGCAAAGATGCTGTTCTTTTAGAATGGAGTAATTGCTTTGCATATTCGAATGCAGGTTAGAGAGTGATCGAAAAGAAGGTGCGAATAGATCTTTATTCTTTAGTTTTGGCCTAAATAATTTGTTGCTATAACGAAGATTTGTCTCATAGAAAGGCCCCCCTTGTAAATAAACGGTTCAAATATCGATTAATTCGTAGTGCTAAACATATTAACCTTTGAATCGTCATAAAAAGGTGACCTTTTACGTTTTGTATAATGTCTTGTGCAAATAAAGTTAAGGTACGTTACGTTGTGTGCTTTAATTTCATTTACCTATTATTTAATGGATGGTTATCTGTACAGTTTGGATAAGCTCAGTCCCAAAATAGTGATACCATGCTGGCGCAAAACACTAAGTTAAAAGCTTGATTGCTACTTGTTTTCAATGTAATGAATATTTATCAAAACTACGACAAGACAGAACTGACCAAATGTCAGTCACTCCTAGATTAACACGGAAATTTATTAATGCAATAGACTATGATATGAGGAGGTTCGTGTTCTCGTAGTAATAGCCAGAAACTCTGGTGCAGATGAGATGGTAAAGAATATATATATATATATATCAACATCTCAAGAATATTTTACAGTTCAATCAGCACACCATGTTCGCAGATAACTTGTACACATTTGTCTAAGGTACCCTTTTGTTTAATCATAGGATAACATGATTCCTGCCTCAGAAGTTCCTCAATATCCGACTCCATACTGCACATCGATGGCAGTTCGTTCGAATTTCGTGAGCCCTCGTTGTCTTTTCCAGTTACATTTCGCCGTTGAGCAGATACAAGACGGTTCGGTGCGCTGGAGCTCTCCAGCTGTGGGGCCTCCTCACCTTTTTTCTCGTCCCCAGTTTCTTCCCCGATTCCATGCTCTACAAAGTCGCATCCCTGTAACTCTTCCTCCCGCGTAAGTCGTATTCCAATTGTCTTCTCGATCAGAAAAAGTTGAATAACTGTCGTCACGACTGCCCAAGCTGCTGTTACAAGACATGCAAGCAACTGGACACCAAGCAGTCGCCAGCTGCCTCCCTTCAAGAAACAATTATGTCTCTAGTTAGCATATATTTTCTTTCCGCAATAAAAATAACTTGGTGACAACTAGACAGGAGAGGGTGAATGTAGAATCAAGGGATACATGTTAAATCCACGACACTGCACCTTCCCGTTTGATAACAAAAGAGAGTTTTAACTTATGTCTCAGGTAAATTCTATTGTGACATTACCAAAGTGAATGGTTCCTAAGAACCGCGAAAGTATTTTAACTCGCTCAGTTTTTGGTTTGTTTTCATTTGCAAAGGCGAGAAAATCAGATTTTTTGACCCGCGCTCGTTATGAAAAGTATCTATTTTAGTTGATGTCATTTGTATTTGTAAAGGGGTAAGTTTCTAAAGAAACTGTGGTGCTGCGTCGGCGGGAGAGTATATCAGGTATGACGAAGGGCTAACGCTCGAAACGTCAGCTTTTTTACCCTTTACGGTGGCTAATTTACGTTTTCAACCCAGTTGTTAACACTAAATTACCTCATTTGTATTTGTGTTTCATAATTATTGTCATGAATTTTTTTTTTGATTAGATGTGTTTATTTTGATAGCCCTCCACGCCCAGACTATATCGAAGATCCTTGCCAGACTTTCATATCTCCACCGCCGACTCCCGATAAATTCACCTTGTACTACAACTCCAAACTAACAGTGTAGTTTAAGGTAATGAATTAAAAATCGAGGAACCCAAAAAGTAAAAATACAAACTGTTACGAATATTATAATACTGTTATTATTATTACTAAGGAAATCGAATACTTGGTTACAAATAATACATGAAGAAAAAATACGCGAGGGCACACTGATTTAAAATCACAAACCATGCCTGTCCTGTCTAGTTGCAATTATAAATGTCGCTGCAATCATAAATGTCGCTGCAATCTTTGCCAGCTGTGTCAATTGCATAAAACTCACTTTAAATAGGCCTTTTTCCTCTGAGAATCCTTCGTTTTCCTCTTGTTCAGCAAATAGAGCCACAGCAATCATACCCCAGACTGCTGCTCCGGCATGGGTGGCAACGCAGTTGACCGGATCATCAATCTTAAGTTTAATCATGGCGTCAGACAGTAAGCAAGCGAACATTCCACCAAACAGTCCAATCAAAATTCCTTCCCATGGTCGGGCAAGAGCACATATACCTGTAACTGACACCAGACCGCCACGGATTCCAGTTACGAATGTTGGAACATCTAATGTTTCTGCATCTTGGAGGTAACTGTAAGCGATTGCGACGATACCCCCACCGATTGAACCATTTAATGTGACAACTGCTGCACGAGCGGCTAACTTCCATTTTTCTACAAATAAAGCAACGGAAAACTAAGCAAAATAAAGATTGAGACTTAAAAAAACTCAAGCCCAGATCAGTCATTACACTTCTTACCTCCAGTGATACCAAAGGTGCTGCCACAGTTAAACCCCAGCCAGCCCCACCACAACATGAACGTTCCTAACAGCACATTAGTCATGGAACAAGGCTGGAGCCTTTTCTTGTTGTCATCAAAACGACCTAATCTAGGCCCTAACATGACTGCAGCAGCGAGTCCTGCGGCTCCTCCGACTAAATGCACTCCAGAGCAACCGGCGATGTCGATGACACCAAGTTCCTTGAGAAGTCCCTTCTTGCCCCAGATCCAGTGAGTTGGAAAACACGTTGACAGCGTGCTCACGAAGGAATACAGCATGTAAGCCTTGAGATTCGTTCGTTCGGCCATAGATCCGGACACAATTGTGGTCGCTGTGGAAGCCAGTGCCATTTGGAAGAAGTACATGGCATAAACTTCTCCTTTGTCGATAGGTACTTCTGTGAGGAAATATCCGACCCCTGTGAAGGCGTTCGTACCTTCGTCTACTCCAAAGCTTAATCCGAAACCAAATAACCAGAAAGATAGACCACTAAAGATAATATCAATGGCGTTCTTGACCATTATGTTTGTCTCGTTTTTTATCGTAACCATTCCTGAAAAAGAGCATAAACAATTCGTTGTGTATAAAAGTATATACCTTAGATTTGCTTGTGACAGGACGGAAACAGTTTTGGGCAACAAACAATATAAGCATGCAACATTCTCGACAGACATGGAGACGAACCAAAAACCTGAGCCCCCTACCCACACCCCTCTTCACCGAATGCTATGAAGGAAAAGCTCTTCAGCATGAGCTCGAATGGTCGTCATACTACATCGACATATCTAAAATGTCTTTAACCTGTAAGTTTGTTGTTACCTTAGTTGGATCATTGGTTCGAATATTGACCTTTTTTGTTTATTATTGTTGAATGCGAAACCTTACCTCGAGGCAAAACCCGATTTTCCGAATGCGTGAGAGTTTTATATTGACCATGTTGTATAAACTGAATGGTCCTAGCTTACCCCTTTTTCTGATCCGAGAAAAAAAGAGGATTGGCAAGTATTTGTTTAGATACCCTGCATGCATTACAAAAATGGAAACTCTGATAAACAGAGAAATATCTCAAATTATTCAAGATTGTTTTCTATCTCTTCTTTTTAGCTCTACATAACAAATTTGCCAAGGTTTCTCTTAACAGTTTCAATAATTCGTTGTGCCTGATAAATACACTACTTACCCGATTCAATGAGTCCAAACCCTGACTGCATGGTAAAGACAATAAAGGCACTAGTGAGAATCCAAGTGGCATCTTCATAATCGATAGGCCTTCCTGTAAGTCCTTCTAACGGAAAGTCTGTCGACGTCGCCATTGCAATTGCGACTGTCCTGCTTCAGCCAAGGCGGCAAACGAATTTCTCCATTACATTTACTAGGATTAGTTTTTTTTTTTAACAGCCTTTCAGTCACAGTTTAACACTCGTGGACACTCTGATCATTGAATGTGTTTTCTTGTTGTTTGATGTGTTTTTCTTGTTATATGGAATTGGTTTGTTTGTGTCCAAATTACTTAACCTATTTGACAAACAACACTTCTTCTTACTGAGTGAATCAGTTCTGTGTAAGGTGCGGTGAGCTACCAAACCGAGAGCTTGTTTGAAATAAAGGTGTACATAAAGATGACGAACAAAACAATCATTCATTATTCAATATTTCTTTTCTGTTCATCAAATAGCTCGTATGGCCTTAGATGATGATAGAGCATTCACGGGTGTTCCCTAATTAACAAGTTGTCGCTGATCAATAAATCATTCTTATTGTAGCGAAGTTAGCCTGCCATTCGCTGACCTATAAATAATCTTAATCAACTGCCCTGCTTGATGGAGGAAATTTATATGAACACTAAAAATATATAATGAAAGCTAAAATTCTAAACTGGAAAACGTTGCTATACAGTTTGAATTTTTGTAAAAGAAAATAATTGACAATATACTTCGAAATAACTGTTTTGTAACCTTAAGGTGCTTGAATTTGTTGGAAAAAGAATGGTTGTTGTTTGCATCAGAAATATCTGTACATTAATAACCTTGACTATTTTCACTTAAATTTGGGTGAAACTGCGTTTATTTTCATAATTTACTTTCAATACAGCCTAAATCTAATGTAATAATTATGGGAAAAATCTAGAGGAAAAACTTGCATGGCGATGGAAACCGTATTGTATTTTTTGAATAAGCTTAACTTACTCTGTTTCTCAGATAAAATGAAACTTCATTTCAAACCCCACAGAAAAGCAATTTGTTTTCCCTAGTTTTGTTTTGGTTTTCATCGTGCTGAAAGCTTGTAACTAGAATAATTAAACCTTGGTAATTTTGCACCGTTTCAATATTGATCAAACACAACTTTCCCATAGGGCACGATACGTAGAGTAGTTTCAATCAGTGTAATTTACTTTACCAATGTAGACACGATATTTCAGCGATAAAGAACCTGAACATTACACTTCTTTTCTCACTTTTTAATCGCTAAATTCTATACAACTTCGTCCTCTTTTTAAATAGTAATTGTTTTGGCAACAGTCGAATTGCGGTATTGATAAAACATAACCTTTTGTCTTGAGCTTTAACATACGTAGTATGATAAAAATTACCTGGAGTCCTGCTGATGTGTTGTCTTTCCTTGTACAAGTCAAACTGTGAACAAATGACTCACTCGTAAGATTACATGAAATATTCATCAAACCAATCTCACGTCTCGAGATGATTTACAAAGGAAAGTATAAAACAAGGTACTTGGTTATGCAGTTTAATTTGCTCTGTCGTTTTCTACGAAAATTGCTCGACTCAGGTGAAATCGACAGAATCTGACAGCAAGCAAATTTTAAGATGAGCCTTAATGTATCGTCAACGAATATGACTTCTGTTCCTCCCACCGAAGCAGTTCAAGTTGGCCATGGTGACGCCGTCTGGATTTTGACTAGTGCTTTCATTATCTTTACCATGATCTCTGGATTCGGACTAGTTGAGTCAGGTCAGTTGAATCAGTTCGATATTCATAATTTTAAGAAAATGTGGTTTTTTTAAGGAAATTTTTTTTGGCATACTCCATTTGGGGTAAAGCTACAGGAATCTCACAGGATCGTGAGAAATTGTTTCGTGACAAATCTTGTTATGTCAAGTCTAAGTAATGATAACTTACCTCGGATGTTGAGAGGGGGCACTCACTTCGTGGGTTTTATTTGATTTGATAACTTAACGTCACATGCTCTGCCTGACAGTATTATACCTAACAATGTCTTATAGTCTTTGTATTGAACTTGATTATCACCAGGTATGGTATCTAAGAAAAATGAGACCAACATTATGGTAAAGAATGCCCTGGATGTGATTTTCGGTGGCCTCTCCTATTGGATATTTGGCTTCGCTTTCAGTCGGGGAGAACCAGACGATGAACATGGTAAATACAATGCATTTTCAGGATCAGCAAACTTTTTTGCTGACGCAAGCCGGTCAAGAATGGGAGGCGTGTTCGCTTTGTATTTCTTTCAAGCATCTTTTGCAACAACCGCAACAACGATTGTGTCAGGTGCCATCGCAGAGCGTGCAAATTTGCAAGCTTATATGGTCTTCTCTTTCACGAACACGTTGGCGTTCTGTTTTCCAGCTTACTGGGTTTGGGGAGAGCACGGCTGGCTGAAAGAGCTTGGAGTGATAGATGTGGGTGGAGCCAGTCCTGTACACCTAGTGGGTGGGGTTGCTGGCTTGGTGGGGACCATCATGCTAAGGCCAAGACGAAACAAGTACAATGACAATGGCTTGACACTAAAAATGGCTTCTCCGACCAATGTTCTGTTGGGTATGTTCATGCTCTGGTGGGGCTGGCTCGGTTTTAACTGTGGAAGCACATTTGGAGTCAGTGGTGGTAAATGGAAGCTTGCTTCTCGGTCAGCTGTCTGCACACTGAATGCCTCTATTGGTGGCGGCATCTTTGCCCATCTGTTTAGTGTCTTTTATTTGAAGCGTGTTGATGTACCAACTTTCATGTCTGGAATTCTGGGTAGTCTAGTGAGTATCACGGCAATATGTGCCGTTGCCAGGCCTGGGGAAAGCATTTTCATTGGTTTCATTGGTAGTGTGATCTCAGTGATGGGGTGGCTTTTGTTGGAGAAGTTTAATATTGATGATCCTGTCGGCGCTATCTCAACGCATGCTGGCGGGGCCATTTGGAGTATGCTTGCTGTCGGCTTGTTCGTCGAACAAGATCGCCTAGAAGATTTCTCAGAGACATACGGTGTTTTCAAAGGTGGCCATTTCAGAATTTTGGGAGTTCAGCTCCTGGCATGCTTAACAATTGGACTGTGGGCAGCCGTGGTTGCATTTTTGCAGTTTTTCATGATTGGAAAGTTTATACATTTCCGATTTTCTGAATATGAGGAGAAACTGGGTGCTGACTTCTGTGAACACGCTGTAGATCACAGCACGGAGCGAAAGACACCAAAGCAGCTTCAGAAGCTTGAACGGATGCGTGCAGCATTGGCAATAAAGAATAAAGTTGCACCTGCCAATAGTCCAGCTGGATATCCTCAAGAGAAAAACCTACGATTTACTCTGTTCCAAACAATAGTGGGGGCCTTATGGAGTGCACAGCGAAGCACGCGGGTCAATCAGTTACAGGCAGAAGAAAGGGAAGGCAAAGAAAATGAGAAAGGTCACTCAAAGTTAAGATCAGTGGCATCTGTCCTTAGGGGTGGTGGAAATTTCACTCAAGTCTCTGAATTTCAGGAAGAGAAATTAGGAGAGGGTGAGGCCTTTGCTGAAAATAGGAAAGGTGTGGCAAGGTTTAGAGCCATAGCGCTTGCTTTGAGAGGTGCTCAGCGGATGAGGAGAGTTACTCAGTCACCGGCAGAGCAGGAGGGAAATTCTGATGATGACCATACAAGAACTTAAGCAAGGTTCAGACCTGTGGCATTAGCAGCAAGGGGTATTCAACACAAAGCAAACACTATTCAAGTAAAAGAGGCAGCAAATTCTTATAACTAATCTTAAGTTGTTGATGATTGTCCTCAAGTTATAAATCTGTTGTAAAAAAGAGTAAAATGTGCGATGCTTTTTTCTTTGACAATCAAAATAATTTTCTTAACATGTGTTCTCCTGAAAATTTTTCCTTTCTGATTCACTTATCCAAACGGCCTGTAAGTTAGAATGAATTTCTAATCAAACGCAATTATTGCACTTTAATTAGCAAAATAAAATTTCTCTATTACAAGTCTCTAATTATATGTAGTCATTACCTTAAATAGACATTTCATAAAAATAGCATGGGAAAATTGGCCTTAGAACATGTAGCATTTGTCATCTTAATGATCCTTACTTTTCACAACTTTAATTTCCAAAACTTTGGCCCAAATTCTCAATACTCTCCAATTACTACAGACAACTAAGAAGCAACAACCAGGAAATATCTTGTGGGTGGAAGTCTGTCATTATCATAGTCATTTGCTGAATGCTCGCACTGCTGATATCCCCTCTTATTACTGGGTATTAGATAAGTCGAAGGTATGAACTTGATGTGACCTTTCTTTTTGTTTCTCTTTTTGCATAAAGGTACAAAACAGAATGCATCATTGAATAAAAGGGGTAGGTCTTGAAAGAAACTGTTACACTGTGTCTGTGCAGGCTGGTTAGTCCCACTTGTGCAACTTTTGGTGTTTGGAGCTACTTTTCGTGGTTCTAGCAACCTCTGGCAATTTTTACCTTTTTTCAGAAGTTTTTGAGCAAATATAGGTTTAGAGCAAATATCAAGTGTCAAGAAGTTCATGAGATTGTAAGAAATTTGAATCTATGTGAATTTCTTGAATGGTTACCAACCTTTTGAACACAAATGAACCATGTATTGTCTTCTGTTAGACTTAAGAGTATCCATTTGAAACTTTTAATACGTAGGTGGAAAAATTTTTGGATTTTTGGAAATTTTTTAGCAACTTTTTGGTACTCCAGTGAGCAACTTTCCAGCATTTTACAACGACAATCAGGACAGGCCTAGAGGTATTACAAGATAATTTTTTTTATCAACTGGGCTAGTATAGCCAGTTTCTTGTGTTATTCAGAGCAAATAAGGAAGGGCTAACACATGAAACTTCAGCTTAAGAAATATCTGTGGGGGCCAATTTACATTAACAACTCAGTCGATAAAACTCAAAATATAACACTGCCACAAATCAGTGACCAGCTGCAGATAGACAGACGATTGTGCCACAACTGGCAGTGCACCCTAAAGATTTATATTGGATTGCATGACCATCAGCAGGAAACCCCCCAATTCAGAGCTAGTTACAGTAGTGAAGACAAATTATCATTAGAGTAAACTATTAAAAAATCACTACAGATAAAGTCTGAGGACACTTAATGTTCTGAAATACCATAGGGGAAGCCAGATTCCTTTTAAGAATTTTTTCATAGTTATTGTTTACTTTGTACAGGAGTTTGAGAGACTGATTCAGTATCTGGAGAACCTCTGGAGAATTTGGGTGCATTCACACAATTATGTGATAATTGTTTGAGTTTCAAGCAACTCTTGGTTAGATTAGCGTCCTGACTGAAAACGACACTCTCTAAGATAACAATTTACCAGAATTTATGAGAAACTAAAGATTACAGAACCTTTTTGAGACTGTCAGGGAACTTTTTTACTGTAACTTTAAATTTGTTAGTCTTACTTCTACTTTTAATTTTGCTGCGTAATCTTTTCTAGGATTATTTTTCTTTTGATCGTGAATATTGTAATTTATTTTTAATCGCAAGGTATGTATTTAACAGAGAAGAACCACCTCGTGGATCTGTTAAATAGACCTTCCTTATTATTGTTATTATTATTTTATTACTAGTTTCATTATGTGGCTGTAATAATAAAATGATAATAAGTTAAGAATACCAACTATATTGCAGCCACAGAACGCGGCTTCAGCTGAGGGCATAATAGCTGGTAGTATCAACAGGAAGAAAAAACCCAGTTACACTAGTATATAACTGTCTTTTCTAAATTGTTGATCCTGATACTTAATTCATTTGCAGCGATACCTTATTCCAAACGAGACCAGGAGAATAACAACGTTTACATGCTCCTGACGAGACCCATGGGAGGTTTCATCATCCTCGCAGTGTGAAACGAATAACTCCTAAAAATGACTTGTTTTGTATACCGACCTCCTAACCGCACTGCACTGATTGTATTTGCAGAACCCAATTGGATCTGATTTTCCAATTTAGGTTATGGGAACGATGACATTTCCTTTACTCGTCAAGAGTTTGAAGGCCAAAGAGCTAACAAAAACCATTTAGACCTGGAGGAGAGCATATTTTTGTCAGGCGTTAAACGTGTGTGAATTCGATTGGAGGAGCACTGGGGCCCATTACAGTCATATCCGAAATGGCCGCTTTACGGGGTCAATTGTTGTGTACTCGAATAGCATGGGTATCTAATCGATTTGGTGAGTCCATCTACTTTCCTTCTGCAGGATAAAAAAATTTAGTGTTACATTATTCCTACAGGCGATATTATTTGTTTTTTCGTCTGGTAAATTTCTCTAGTCATTCTCGAAAAAATACATGTTCTTCATGAATAAGTAGATGTTAATTTTACCGAACACTACTGACGCTATATGCAGCAGCGGATATATCATTGAATAAGGGTGGTAAAAAATAAGGCCAAACTTTGAACGTCTTTCTGGAGCATAATAGTTTACGTGGTTAATCGGAACATTTGGACTGTATTTCTACATTCCACATTTATAGGGGCTTTACACGCTCTCGGTTCATCGAGCAAGGATATAACTCTAATTTGCCCTTCCCAATGAGATTCTCGCAGCACACGCTAATAGACTTTCTACCGAGCTGATGAGAGTTACCTGTAAATATAAATTAACTTTCTTTGCAATTCTGTAGTTTCAAGTGTTACTTTTCTTATTTTCACATTTTATGTTTTTTAATGGTTTGATAGACACAAGTTTTTGGGAAAATAAATAAATCTTAAAAGCATATTCCAAACCTTAGAATTATTTTAAAAAGGATCATTCCCGGTGTCTTTCTGTTATTATTATACATTCAACCCACTATCTCTTTTCTGATTGGCTGAAAGTATACTGTGAATTTTCTAGGGACGTCATTTAGCTGCATTATACAATTATTATCATGTCAAGGTTACGTGTAATCGTGTCATGTATAACTGTGGTGCATCATTTCTGAGAGTAATCATGTTAAGTTCATGCAATTTGTGTTGCTTGCCATTAGTGAAGAGGCAAAAAAAATTCTTTTTTTCATTCAATGTACAATAAAACAATTTTTAGATTCAGTTTTTGTGTTATCCAGAATAATCAAGGTCTTGTTAAGGGGTTTTAAGTCTCAGGTTATCAGCCTCAGCTTTGGCTGATAACCCCTGCCTCAACCTTGATTATTGTGTACATGACAAAAATCTCATCCAATAATTGTTTATCATCTGGACTTTCTTTTGCAGTGAAAAGGGGTCAACCTGTCAGGAGGTTTGAAATCTACACAGAGAAAACTGAACAACGTAATTTGTTACATAGAATCATAACAGACTGGAAAACCCCAGTAAGTAGCTTGAAATAATGATATACAGGTGACACCTCTGAAAAGCCCATCGTTCTTTTCAGCTTGGTTTTAAGTTGGTTTACTAAAGTTTGAGTGTTAAAAAAATCTCTATATGCACCAGCGTCAGCTAAGCATTTACAGATGAGCAAATATTAAGCAAGATCAAGGAAAACCCTGCACAATTTGGTGTCCACACAGAGGTTTTTTTTATGTTGAACTTGAAGCCTACAAAGTGTCATGCATTCATACAATAATTCTGTCCTGTAATTCAACAGTCACCATTTAGAACATGTTTGGTGTCCTTCTTTGTGAACAAATTATGTAGCTGTGGGCTCTATATTGTGCTAGAGAAATTCCTTTGGAGGTGTCAAACTGGCAGAAATGTCAAAAGTGCAAATTTGCCTTTATCTCCTCCCTTTTGAGCAGTTGGCCACAATTGTTGTTCTCTACACATTATCTAACACCTACAGCTGTATATCAACACTGCCTATACAACAACTTCATACAAGTAGTTTGTGTTGCATTTCCACCCAGGTGAATGGTTCTTCCTAAAGTGTGTAGAAATGCTACATGCAAAATGATTATTTGTTATATAAAATGTTTTCTGATGGTAAATTTTTACAAAATTTAGCTACACAAACTAAGCTGGGTTTTTTGTTGTTGTATTTTTAACAATATGTCAATATCAATCTTCATACAATTTTGTACCAAAATCTGTTGCACAGCTTTCAGATGACCACTTTTGACATTTTCTTTGGTTTTAAATACACCTCTCAGACTGATTGATGCTTTAACTCAAGTGAAAATTTCTAAAGAATCAAGTGTTCAGCCCTCTGATAACCACACATGTTTGAGCTTCTTTCAAGAGCATAGTAAAATCACCTATTGTCTTGTATGATGGTTTTTTGCTGTATACATATATTTGTGGTTTGTTTGCTGACAACGAATACCAGTGATCATTTTGTTAAACAAACCTGGTGACCCTCCTGAACTTTAGTAAGCCACTTCAGTCCATTTTCAGTCAAGTAGTTAAATTATTGTCATTGATGTTGAAGTAGCATTTTGTTCTCAGAGTTACTATTTGACAGTCCAATTTTGCAGTTAACAGAAAGCCTTTTTACAAGGTACAATTTTGTCTTTTTTCCTCAGTCCATAGTGTTCATCAGTGGAGTGTTGGGTTGTCTGTTTTATGAGCGCTTTATAGGTGAGACAATATGGCAGACCTGTGTAGTTCAATCACAATATTATTGACACAATAAGTATGAACAGCTACGATGTAAAGCTAAATTTAGTCATGAAGAAGGAACAAAGATAAACCACAACTGTTGTTTGTTATAACCTTTTGGTGTCACATATAAACAGCCCATGTTCATCATGTCTGGATCAAGCCAAGAAATCCGATCTACTGTGGTAATACTAAGTGTTAAGAAGATTTTTACACATATACAAGTGTGGCTAAGTTTACAGTGTTGATAACATGTAATAATAAAATGGGTATTTTCAAGAATTAGAGAGAAACATTTTTATTTATTGTCAATTAAGTAACATTTTTCTGACTTTGTTTTATGATGTCATCATTCAGAGGAACCTGATGAAACAGGAAAAAGAGATGTAAGATTATAAAAAGTTTTTTTCTATGAACATGTACATTATATTTCATTACTTTATGGAAAGTCATTCTTTCATTAAGCTGTCATGAGTCTATCATACATAGCCATTACCATGTGCTGAAACATTTTTGTATCAATTTTTCTGTGCTTACTGATAAACACTATTTTGTTTTATGAGAAGAACACAAAGTGGTAAATGTTACACCATTAAAATTATTATTCTTTCTTCCATGCTTTTAATTTCTGTCATTAGCCCTTGATTACAAGACTCATGATGAAGTACATAATGGCAGATCCTGATGTGGATAGAGAGAAACGAGAGAATCACATGCGTCATGTCAAAGAAAAAATGGACATTTTGTATCTTTTAAAACCTTTATAAATATATTATTCACTAGAACAATCTATGTACACAACTTCTTGCTTATTTAGTAGACTTCTTGCCCACTTGTCTTACTTGTAAAAAAATTCAATGTTTCATGCTATCCATTTTTATTTTTGGTCAACCGTTTTAGGGCCTAAGCTATCTGTTTTTGGACTTTGGTCAACCGTTTAAATTTTTTGCCATCCATTTAAGTGGTCATGGAAACTGTTTAAACGCTTTAAACGTTTAGTATCCGTTTAAAACTTTTTTTTCTGGACCATTTAACGGAAAAGCGCTAGTGTCCATTTTCCCATGGAGGGTCACATTTACCGGTACATAATTATGTGAACGTGTGTGAAAGTCCAACATTACAAGGGTTGGTCCTGTGTGCACATGTACTCTAGTGCTTAGATGGTATAAGGCCTGGCTGATGAGCAAATTCCCTACAACTCAGTTGCTGAGCTTCAGAGAACTTGTTACCCAGTCATGACTCTTAAAGAGGACTCATATTTTTTACTTAAATTTTAAAATGGAGTTCAAAGTGACCATAATGCCACACATTATCTGCAAAAAAAAGAAAAAAACACTTTCAACATTGGTCATCATTGTTGAGCACAATTGTTACTAACATGTAGTTTGTGGTTCAGCTTGCTATTAACTTCCCTATGGCTCTGTGAGTAGGGCATCATAACACAACATTGAATTGGCTGGGGTTTGGAGTATTATCAGATTTGTCCTATGCTGATCAGAATGTTGAAAACCATCCTTTCAAAACCAACTGTCTCTCTTAATATTATCAATACTGTTACTCTTAGTTGGAAAGAAACATGGAGGTAAACTTTTTTATCATATCTGCACAATGAAGCTTCTCTTTTTTCACCAGTTTATCATTTAAACTTATCCTGAAATACATTTACGAGCCATATTTTCAGTGAATCTCTCCTTAACCAGTTCTCAATAGCCAAGAGATGAAGAGAAAGCCCCGGCTTGGAAAGCAGCCATTTGATATTGAGAAGATTGAGAGAGATAAACCTACATTTAAGCCTTTTGGACCTGATGGCTACTGAGCATGTCACTGTCATACCTGGCTTATTTCATTGTAAAAGAAAAAGCTCATCAATAATAAGCATGTTCCCCTGACGATGCAGCTCTAATTTACTTGAGTATTGGGCTATTAAATTTGCTGAAGGGATCAATCTCATTTTGTTTTCAGTTTTGATGAAACAGATCTCAGTTTGAGGCCTTATCTTTGGAAAAGAATGTGAAGGAGAGCTTTGTGTGATTTGTATCAGGTCCAGTTCTATTTTGTCTAATAAATTATCTTTTTACCATGGTGTGATGTACAGGTGTATACACTGGATACTCTCTAGTTACAAAACAGAGAGCTTCAAATGTTTTTAGAGTTTAATGACAAATTTCACTGTTCACCCTACATTTTTATTTTGCCATCTGAGTTGCATGATCCAAATATGGGAGTCTGAAATTCTTTCGTGCTTCCATCTTCCAAGCTTAATAATAATGTAATTATTAAAAGAGAAGAATGACTGTCATAAAGTCTTTTTCTTAGTATTGTGGTTGAATACCCTTGGCTGCCACTCCCTCCCACAACCTTCACCAAATCCAAGCCTCTCAATTTCCCAAATGAATAAAGGGGTAAGTTTCTAAAGAAACTGTGGTGCTGCATTGGTGGGAGAGTATAGCAGGTAATTTAGTGTTAACAACTGGGTTGAAAACGTAAATTAGCCACCATAAAGGATAAAAAAGCTGATGTTTTGAGCGTTAGCCCTTCATCTATCACTCTGTTGAAGGGCTAACGCTCAAAACATCAGCTTTTTTACCTTTTACAGTGGCTAATTTACGTTTTCAACCCAGTTGTTAACACTAAATTACCTCTCAATTTCCCAGATTCATCCATTATATCTTAAAAAGAATCCCCATAATAAAGCCAAGTTAGAGTAGTGAACTCAATCATTTTTGCTACTGTTGCCATCTTGGTAAAATGTCCCATAAAATTTATAGAGTTACAAAAACACCTGTGGTGAAGCAGAAATGGGCAAAATACTTGATAGAAATGTTTTATTTTGAAAAGGAGTAGGGTATGCTCTAGGGTATAGGACATGTCACTCAGTTGTAGCCCGAAATCGCTTATTTCCTGCACTTTGTGACTCATTTTTAGATTCTTGATTTTGTTGAGCTCTTTGGTAAAGTTTCAATAACTGTGTAGCTTCCCTTAGTTGTATCCTTCGGTCCAGTTCTTGCTGGCATGCTTCCCTAATATGTTCAGCTTCAATAACACTTTTCCCCAAAACAGTGGCAAGTGAATCGGTTTCGATATTAATCACAACTTGGAGTCTTTCATCAGAAAATGAGATAAAAAAGGCAGGATCATTTTTAATTCTTATGAGAAGATCAGCTGGAATGTCATCTGTCATTTCTCCTGCATCTGTCCTGTCAAATTCCATGCTTTCATTGGTCTCCAAACTTGCCCCTACACTGCTGATACTATATTCTCTACTTCCTTGACTACAGCTAAAATCTGTGGATTTTTAAAAGCAAAGAGATACTCTCAGATTTTGAGGCTAATGCATATTTAGATTGGTGTTACCATTACCTCCTCTCCATCCCTACTTGCAGAATTACCTTTTCCTCTTACTTCATACTTACTTCAATTACTTCAAACTACATCATTTATAATTTGATAATAGGATGGACTGGAGTGCACTTGGGTCTGCAATGATACCCTTGATTTCAATATCAGTCAAGTAGGAGTGAGTTTAATTGAAAGCAAATTATTTTAGACCAAAATTGACCAAAAGGAAGTTTACTACCCACTTTATTATATCCATTTGAAAACTTAATGGCTTTAAAAAGTGCTTAAGTTAATACAGGATTTCTGCCTTAACTATTGCATTGATTCAGTGGCGAAAAAAATGGAAAAAGGTGTGATTTGTAAATATGTCACATTGCTGAAATCTGAAATCTGATTAGTTGTTTTGTTGTAGAATTCCAATCTCTCTGACAAGGAAAAACACAATTTTAAGGAAACCTTAATGCAACAGATCACACTGGTGAGAGCTACTCAGAGAACAAGGATCACACTTGGTCTGAAAATGGATTTACTATTATTAACTATACATTGGAAGCCCTCTTTAATGGCCACTGTGGTAAGCAGACAGCATCTTTCACATTTGCCTCCCTATAGCTGATCCAGACTCCCATCCAAACTCTGCATTTTTACATTCCTGTGAGTTAACTTTCTACTCTCAAGTAGTGATTCAACAATTTCCTTTGTATCACCATCTCAAAGATATTTTATCAATCAGCATTACATTAACACTTAAGAGATTGGTTAAGAGGCCTTTAAAGAAATTACTGATTGTGATACACTTTGCTATAAATTGGAAAGCTGAAGAAAAAGCTATTTATTTAAAAAACATCCCCTAACTTTATTACAGAGGTATGTTGCAGTTAGACCATTATTATTTCTATTGATTCCAAATATGATTTGTTATTTAATCACCAAGAATCAGCCCTCGTGATTTGGTGGGAGCTGTCTACAGCATCATTGCAACGTTGGATGGTACAGTAACAGGAATGAAAGATAAACTATGTTGGTACTTTGTTCTGCTGTTGTTTGTTGTTGTTGTTTTGCATTCTATAAGATATTTTATAGGTGGGCATATGCACCCAGGAGGTTGTTCATAACTAACACTTACAGTATGCACCTAACTGTATGACAACCATTCCTTCAATAGTCAACTCAATAAACTGTCTGTTCATTTTCAAGTTTCTGTTACATGAATATTCAAAATTTCTAAGAAAAATGATGTGAAGATGTATCGCAAAAAGAAAGTGGAATTTGGCAAAAATGTAGTCAATGACCTTTAAAATCTGAAATTGACAATTTCATGAATTGTCAGAGTCACAAAATATAACTACTTTGTAAAAGTTTTCCTCCTCTTTTTTTCCAAGTTTCTTGGTGCTTTTGAAAGGATTAGACAACAGTTTCTCTGGGGTAAGGCATTTCAATTTTGCTTTAGGACCAAACAAGAGAAAGAGTCATAACATCTCTGGAAGGAAAATATGTAATGTGCTAGGCTTAGTCTGGGGAGATGGATAAACAGGCAAGTTAGTGAAAATCAGCACATTCTTAGAGTATTCCAAAAAAGAATATAGTTGGACATACCGTAAAACATTTCTCACAGTGAGATGTTAATATTTCCTAAGGCTGTCAGCCATCTTTCCCACAACTGACAAGACTGTCATGAGATGTTTCCAGTAACATCATTTCAGCAATAGAGTC